CTTCTAGGTGACTCTGGGAAGCAATGCCATGTTTGAGGATGGAAATCACGGATGCAGACCCCAGTCCACCATTCAGACACACGTTCTAGTTGCCTGAGCAGAGGAGCTGGGCTCCCATGGAGTCCTGCCACCAGGGGCCTGAAGGCTGGGCTTTGGCGGGGCAGAAGGGAAGAAATGAAGGGGAGCCAGCAGGATTATTGTTAACGCTTCCTCTGCCTTTGCCCTGTTGCTAAGACGAGCACCAGCCCCTCCTAACATCAGCACCACGTTGAAAGGCACACCTGACTGTTAGCTCTGGAGCAAAGGTCTGTCCACTGTAGCCAACTACTCTTACAGATGGGGAGACCAGAGAATCAGTTCTCCAAAGCCACCAGCAGAATGCAACACATTTATTCTTAGTTCTAGAATGTTCTGTTGTACTTAGACTTGGACACGGGTGTGTCTGTTATTCTGAGAATTCACTTCAAATTAAAGAAGGAAGCTCCAGCTCCCTAAGTCTGGAAGACATCCAGTTTCTCCCACCCCACCCCCCCCCAGCCTGCCCCTGCCCCACCCACCCTGTGCCGGCCATCAGCTCAGGGCAGCAAAGTCACCAAGAATGCCACAGTGGCCTGGCCCCTCTCAGATAGGGGAAAAGACCAAGCAGAGAGCCCCCAAAATCCATTGCCTTTGAGTCAATTCTGACTCATAGCAACCCTATAGGACAGAGCAGAACTGCTTCTCAGGGTTTCCAAGCCTGTAAATCTTTGCTGAAGAAGATTGCCTCATCTTTCTCCCATGAAGTGGCTACGGTTTGAATCACCAACGTTTTGGTCAGCAGTGGAATGCTTTAACCACTATGCCACCATAGCTCCTAGACAGCGCCAAAAACCAAACCAAATCCATTGCCATTGAGTCGATTCCGGCTCATAGAGACCCTCATTGGGTATTCAAGGCAGTAAATCTTTACGGAAACAGATTTCCCAGTCTTGCTTCCATGGAGTGGCTGGTAGGTTTGAACCACCAACTTTCTGGTTAGCAGTCAGATTCCTTAGTCACTGTGCTACCAGAGCTCCTTCCAGATAGCTCCAGGCACCCCAAATTAACAACTAAAATGAACTTTGGGGTTGACAGGAACAAGTAGGATGTGCTGTGGTGAAGGGAGCCTCAAGGCTAGTTAGGTCAAGTAGCCACTCCCCACCTGGCAGTGTGGACAAGCCTCCCCGCTGGGAGTCACAGCTTCTGTGTCACATGAGGAAGCAAAACCAGAACCCACTGCAGCGGGCTCTTGTGAGCCCACAGGGTCCCAGAGAGGCTGGGAGCCCAGGGAGCCACAGGCTTCTCCCCAGGACACCTTTGTTCCCTGAGACGGCAGCTCTGTTCTTAGAGGCCACTGCAGCTCCAAGAGGTCCCCCAGATGCCACAGAGCACAACTCCTGGGGTTCATACCCCCATGACATCCTCACAGCCCCTTCTGCCTTCACTGGGCTTCCACTCCCGGCCCCAGCTGTAGCCTCCTCAGAGAACATCCTCCCATATCCAGCATACTGTGCTCCCTGATGGCAGAATCAGCAGGGTGGGCTCTTCTGGAATGGTGCAACCCATTGGGGTGGGAAGATGACCACAGACATAAAGGGCACAGTGCATCTGGCACCTAACCACTCCTCACTACCCTTACCCCTTTTCACCCCCAGAAACACAAATCTTCAGTGAATTGACAATTGTGGGGAATACTGCAGTCAGGTGCCCCGCTGCCGTAACACGTTACCATGCGTGCTGCTGACACCAACAGAACTGTACTATCTCCAGTGATGGAGGTAGAAGTCCAAAGCCACAGTGTGGGCTGGGCTGCACTCTCTCTGGAGGCTCTAGCGGGGATCCTTCCTGGCCTGTTACAGCTTCTGGGGTTCCCCAGGTGTCCCTGGCTTGTAGTTGCATTGCTCTCATCTCTGCTCCATCTTCACATGGCTGTCCCCTCTGTGTCTATGTCTCTCCCTCTCTTACAAGGATACTGGTCACTAATCTGTGGTGATCTAATATTGAGATTAATCACACCCGCAAAGATGTTTTTTCCAAATAAGATCACATTCGCAGGTTCTTGGGGTTAAGGACATGGACATAACTTTTTGAGGACATCATTCAGCTCACTATGCTGGCTAACACCCAGTGGGGCTCACTTAGTGCCACACACTGTGCTAAATGTACTGTATGCCATGCTTCAGGCTCACAGTAACCTTACAAGGTGAGGGAACTCCCCCAACCTACAGAAGAACAGCCAGGCTCTGAAAGCATCCTTGCCTAATGTCACTTGGTGAGTAAGTGGATGACAGAAGGAGGCAACCTGCACAGACAACCTGACCACCGGGGCTAAGGGCCCCTATATCTCCCCTTTTGGCTTTGACCACAGAGAGCCTCAGCCTCCACTGTCTCCTCCTCCCAGCCATTCAGGGCTATGACAGCCCCAAACCCGGACAGCTCCCAATCCAGAGGGTGAGCTCTGGCCATGCACAGGGATTCACAGCCCTCTGCATGGGTCAAGCCTAGGACTTGCCATGGACCCCTGCTTCCAAGCCCCCCACCAGCACCAGGGTGGGACTCATAAATGAAGCCTCCATTCACCAGCCTCTGAGAAGTGTAACTGAGGCTCTGATGGAAAACCAGCTCATTATGCAAAGTGCAGGAGTTGTGAAAATGGTTGTTTTTTAAAGGAACACTGCGGGATTTCTATTCAGCCCTGAGAGAGGGAAGAAGACTCCTCAGGGCTGCAGATTTTCAAAAAGGAAAGGATCTGGCTAAACCAAAACCTGCTAATTAGGAATGCTAAGCCTAGGATGAAAATAACAACCCATTATCATCAAGTCGATTCTGATTCATAGCAACCCTGTAGGACAGAGTAGAACTGCCCCATAGGGTTTTCAAGGCTGTAATCTTTACAGAAGGAGATTGCCTTATTTTACTCCCGTGGAGTGGTTGGTGGGTTCGAACTATCAACCTTTTGATTAGCTGCCAAACGCTTTACCACTGAACCAACAAGGGTCCTGGATATAGAATGGGCTATCAACATTTTATTTTTATTTTTATTTTATCTATCTATCTATCTATTATTTATTTATTGTGATTTGGGTGAAAATTTGTTTTTCATTTATTTATTTATTTCTCTCTCTCTTTTTTTTTTTAATTGTGAGCTATCAACATTTTTTTTACAAATTAAATATTAAACCTATACAAAAATAAAGTGTCTGGGACATTAACAACCAAACAACCCCCTTATACTCACTACCCAGCTTATGTTCTAGAACATTCTGAATACCTTTGAGGCCCCCAGTTATATGGGCTGTTTTTATTAAGGTAACTGTTGCAAAGTCTGTGACAGGGACCTTCTAAAAATATGTATTTATTTATTTATTTTTAAAAGTGTGTTTCTGGCTACAAAGACAGTATGTGTTCTTCCAGAAACGTGCCGGCAGCCGTCACTAGGACTGACCACTTTGTGGTACAGCGTCTCTTGTTGTTGTTGTTGTTGTTATGTGCCGTCAAGTCGGCCCTGACTCATAGCAACCCCTCCTTGGGTTTCTGAGGCAGTATCACTGCAGAAGTAGGATTGCCCAACCTTCCTTCCGAGAAGTGAACCGCCAGCCTTCTGGTTAGCAGTTAAGTGCCTTAGGCACTATGCTACCAAAGCTCCTTAAGATTAAAAAGAAAACAAAATAAAACTAGTTCAAAGGCATTTCTAAATCCTCTTAGAATCCAACAGCATAAAAGGCTCTGGTGGGTTCACTAACATTGCATCTGCCTGGTGACTCTGTGAACCTGGGGTCATGGGGTGATTGGAGCACCCCACACCAAAGCCACATTCACATCCTAATCCCTGCAAATGTGAATGGGGAAAAGGATCTTTGCAAGTAGAGTCAAGGATCTCGAGATGTGGTCACTCTGGATTATCCAGGTGGTCCCATATCCAATAACACTGGTCCTTAGAAGAGAGAAGGAGAGAAGACAGAAAACAAGGTACTATGTGAAGACAGAGCAAATACTGGAGTGATTCGGTCACAATCACTGGTGGATTATGGAGTATATAGGGCCCCAGAAGCTGGAAGAGGCCAGAAGGATGCCCACTGCAGCCTGCAGAGGGAGTGTGGCCCTGCCCACATCTGATCTCAGACTTTGGCCTCCAGAACCGTGAGAGGGTGCACTTCTGTTGTTTAAGCCACTCAATGTGGGGTGCTTTGTTAGAGCAGCCCCAGAAAACACACATACAGGATACGCAGCCCCTCAACAAGGACAGCTGTGCCGGTCCAGTGCACCTGGTACCACCGTCCTGGGGCCCCAGGTATGGGTAGTGAGTGCCCCATGAACAGTGTCTCACAGACAACATCAGGGTCAGGTTCTACATGACGTCACTGTGCCCAGGTGTGACTCCCATCCACTCTACCACCCTAAGCCTCTCACTCCCACCCGTGTCCCCCTGGAGTGTCCCCAGCTCCTGTCCTCATCCCCCTGCCTATCTGGAATGAGGTCCCCATTAGGATCTCTGCTATAAGTCAGAATCCACAAAGAGGGTCTCCTTTGGGGTATCCCCCCAACCCTGCCTGTGACCTCCACCCAGTAGACAGGCCCAGTCGTCAGGGCACAGGAGTCTCAGACAAAAAAGCAGACGCCCGCCTGAGCCCTGCAGCCCCTCCAAGCAACTCCCAGCTCCAGCCTCCCACTATACACCAACCCAGCTCTCTCCTTCGGGCTAGCAATCTTACACTGTCGTGTGCAGAGTGCATTTAGGTAGGCAATGATCTGTGGAAGGATTAATTTGCTGATTTTATTACCTAAATTGAAAGAGATTTCGCAGCCATCAGTAACATGCTCACAAGATTTCCCTGGTGTGAACTGAGGACTCACCCTCCTCCCGCCCCAACGGCCGCCCCACTGCCAACAGGCCACCCAGCAGCATAGTGACGATGCCCGAGACGGACACAGGCAGAGGAACCTCCGGTGTGTGATGGGGGCGGTGCTACACAGAAGCTCACCTGATGCCTTTGTTCTGCGCGATGCTGTGCAGGGAGAGCCTGGACACGGCCGAGATGACCTGGGGAGACAGAGACCAGGAGTGGTCACAACATGGAAACACAGAGCTCTGCAGACGTGGGGGCTGTCTGCTCAGCACACACCTCTCAGGGGAAGCAGCCCCACACATTTTTAGGCTAGATATCTATTTTGTACTGAGTGCAAAATCTGTCATTTTGATGCAGGGATATTTGCTGAGAGCTGCCACCCTCCTGGCACAGCTGGAGAGGAGCAGGTCTCAGCTGGAATCCTGCCCTGCTACCTCCTACACAGGGATAACCACACCTCAAGTCCCATTCTCAAACTGAGAAAGGTGTTAACATCACAGGATCCACTGAATCTATGCAACGGGGTGCGCATCCATGTTGCTTAGAAAGTCACTACACGATTAATAGCAAGTCATGTTCACAAAAGGTAGCAACACATTTTAGAAACAGGGAAATGAAGAGTGGAGAGGTAAAATGACCTGTTGGAAGTCACAGGGGAACAAGGGCACAGCGCTGGCCCATGTGTTGAGCCCCTCCTGTCTCTGGGTGACCATATGAACAATATCTGCGTCCCTCAGGAGGCAGGAAACAAGGAAGGCGGTACAGCATTGCACCCCGAGAACTCAGCAGAGTCCCTCAGACTGATGGACACATCACAATGAAAGTCAGGAATGCCCAACAGATAAGCAGTGGCCACTCTCTCTTCCTGCCTTCATCCACATAGTCTCCTTGGTACAGACAGGGTTCACCTCTGTGCCCAGGCTTCAGAAGTGCCTAGAGTGATGGTGCTACAAATCTTCAAACAGCAGGCAGTGAGCAGGCAGGGGGGCACAGAGGGTCCAGAGATGATTATGGGGAAAGGGAGGTGGCTAACCCAGAAGTACAGGGCACAACCCACCCAAGACATAACAAGAAGCTGGTCACACTTCATTCAACAGGATTTGGGGCACTTACCATGCCAGACATCACATATGAGAAAGTAGATCCACACTATGCCTTTGAGATGTCAGTGTGTGTGTATATGTGTCTGTATGCATGTGAGGTCACATGTGTGCATATGTGGGCATGTGAGTTCACACATGTGTGCATTCATAATGTTCACCTATGTATGTAAGAGTTCACATGTGAACATACGCAGGTGGGTGTACACGAGTTCACATGTGAGCACATGCATGTGTGTGCACCTAAGTTCACATTTGGGCACTGTACTACACGAGCTCGTGTGTGTGCATGTATGTGCATGTGAGTTCACATGCATGTACTGTGCATACATGAATTCATTTATGTGTATGAGTTCATATGTGTATGTGTGTTCACATGTGCTTGTGAGCTCGCATGTACACATTTGTTCATGTATATGCATGCATACGCATATGTGTGTGTTCATGTGCCTGTGTGCATAAGAGCAGGTACCAAGAAAATGACCCAGGAAAATGCTTGCTAAATCCACCAGCACCCCTTACAGGTGCTACCTTCCAAGGAGCTGCGGCCCACTGGGCTGTCCATATCCATGGTCATGGCATATCCTCACAGCCCCGTGAGGCTGGCTCTGTTCTGTGCATTTAACAGATGGGCAGAGTGAGGGCAGGTCAACTGCCCAAGGCCATTCACTGTGACACACCCCTGAAGCCCCCTTTACGGCTGTTTAATTCCCTAGAAATTTTTTAAAAGGGAGGAAAAATCAAACTGTACAGAACACCTTTTCTGCCACCAATGAGACGGAAGGGGCTGGCTGACAAGCAGACTGCACGCACCACTTCCTGTGGGCAGTTCCATTTCAGGGGCCAGGACACACAGAAGTTATGAATCACAGAACGACAGGGCTCCTCTGTGATTCCAAAGATAAGACTCAATTGGCTCATTCTGCAGCCAGCCAGCCGCAGCTCCGACACTTGTGCACTACAAGGGGCCTTTCACGAGTAATGAGCAACTTGGCTGCGGCTGTTGTTCTTGGCTTTAAGAGCCTAAATATTTAGGGAGAACAAAAAGTAAAGCACATTGCTATGTGCCCTTACAGCTCTTTGATATACTCTGGAGATGTCAAAGCTCGATGAGGCCTTGGGTCACCCAGTTTGAAGACAACAGCTCTAGGGCACATGAGCCAAATGCCCCATGCCTTCCACAGCAAACATCAATAATCAAAAGGTACACACTTCCTCAGTGAGCCAGCAGTGGGGTGGAACCCTCTCAGCCTAGCGCTCAGAGGCACCAGTAGTTGCTTGGCATTGGCACAGTAGCTGGACCTTGTCTGCCAATCTGGATTTAGTGCAAATGCCTCGTTTCATGGAGGTATGAACCAAGAAAGAGGTACTGCCGCCCATAAATGGGTCAAGGCCAGGATTCGGGTCTCAGCCCTGCCTCCGTGTCCTCAGGCCCGACAGGCAGAGCCATCTCTACAGCTGCCATGGCCCACAGCCCGAGCTGGCAGCTGCCCTGCTCCAGGACGTAACTGTCACTAGTGATTTGTGATGTGCTCAGCTTCAGTTCGCCTCCTCAGACAGGCAGCTCCTTAAATGGGGTTCAACTTGGCCCACAAGCAGGAAAGCAGCACTGCGCTCTGGCCAGCTGTGTGGAGGTACCCATCCTGTGTCTGCTGGGGTGGCTGCATCCTGATGTGTGGACAGGAAGACAACAGCTTAGGGACCACTGTAGGGCCTCTCTGCCCACAGGGCAGCCCCCTTGGGTGACCTACAACCAGGGAAATCTGCTGGGAACAGACATGGGGTCCCAGAGACAGGCCTGGGACCTGCTCAGGGGAGTAGGCAGCCCCATGGGAAACTATCACCCTGAAAAGTTAAGGAAACAGAAGAAAGACCCATTGCAGGAGGAATGGAGTGCTGCTGCAGCACCCCAACCCAGATGTCTCCAAGCGGCCCCCAACAAGCCCAAGGCACGCCCCCAAGTCAGTATCCTTAAGGTAGTCCCCAAAGGCAGCCACCAGTACAAACCCTGACAAGCCCAAGGTGGCTGCCCAGGCACCCTGCTGCAACCCACTAATTCCCAGGGACAGAGAGTGATGACGAACTTCCCAGCCGTGGCCCATGTCGGCTCTTTTGAGAACGTAAATGTCAAAGGATGACATTTTCCCAACTTTTATGTTCACTCTTTTCTGCGTCCCAGTTTGCAAATGAAATGAAGACACTCTCTCTTCCAGCCTGCCCCCCAGCCTCCATCTGCGCCTCCATCGACAGCCAGAGCAACCCCTGGGGTTTGGTCCACCAACCACTCCTTGGCAGGGCTGGAGCTAGAGCCCTCGATGAGCAGAGGAATATATGCTGGGGCAGAGAGCAGGGGGTGACATGAGGAGATCCCTAGATGCAGTCCTACTGGAGAACCAGCCCATCCGCTAGCTCTACCAGCTCCGCAAAGACCATGGCTCTTTGCTGCTCACTGGCACTGACACCACCGACACAAATCCAGTACCACACACACACCCAAGTTCAGTGAGCACCCAGAGTCACACCTCAGGGGTCTGAGGTTCGTGGCCTCCACCCGGCCAACCTGCCCTGAGCCCCACAGCTCTCCAGTGGAGCCCAGCTGAGCCCAAAACACCAGGAGCTGATCAGCATATCCCCGGAGCCAGCAGCAGAGTCTGAGGGTAAAACACAGGTCCTGAATGGCTCAATGTGTAGCTGGGGTTGGGCCCCTTCCCTAGGAACTCATACTGACAGGTCACACCTATCACACTCATAGAAGATGAGACTCACGTCCTGACTGTCCATTTCTGGTCCATGTGGAGCACGAGGGACAGGTCAGCGCCTGTCCACCTGGCCAGTCCCAGTAAGAGTGTCAGGAAGGCCTTGGGGAATGCAGACATGGCCTGCAGGCCAGAGCTAGAGAGGGTTCAGGGAGAGCAAGACTCAATACACCCCAACTTCCAGAACAAGATTTTTCCCAAAACCATGACTGGGCCCCAAGCAAGGCAGGGCCCCCGTGCTGGCTCTAGCTGTGGTTGCACAGTCCTCTCAGGCAGGGGGAGCAGCAGGCAGCAAGGAGGGGTGACAGCGGGACATCTCCCAGGGGCTAGATGCCCTAGAGTGGCTGCCAGCAAGTCCTTCTCAGCAGGGACAGGTCCCTGCTTGATGGAGCCATCACATTCTCTTGGGCAGAATGGAGGAGGCAGCCGCTACCCTAATTTGTTCCCTGTCATCCGTCTGCCTGATCATACCTGACAGGAGCAGGCTCCTGTTTGGCGGCTTTGCTGCTCAGCCTCAGCCTGACATGCAGGAAGGAGCAGGTAAAGCTGTCTGTCCTCATGTCCCCACCACGCGCATGCCGCAGGGCAACTCAGTCTTGCAGTGCTAGCCCTGAAGCCTCAAACTTCTGCCAGCCGCTGTGTGTAGGTTCACAACCAGGGTGACAGGGGCCTGGACACTGGCTGGCATCTGTGTAAAGGTACCCGTGAGAATATTCTGGAAAGGCAGACCTCCTCCCCAGAACTTTCTCAAAGGACCTGTTGTTGTTGTTGTTCTTGTTTGCCGTCGAGTCGGCCCCGACTCATAGCGACCCCTCCTTGGGTTTCCGAGGCAGTATCACTACGGAAGTAGGATTGCCCAACCTTCCTTCCGAGGAGTGGCTGGAGGGTTTGAACCGCCAGCCTTCTGGTGAGCAGTCAAGTGCCTTAGGCACTATGCTACCAAAGGACCTAGGATGCCCAAAAAGATTCAGAAGCTGTCCTTCAGTTATCACATTTATCAGTGGCTGGTAGGGTGTTTATCAGCTGCTCCAGGAGGTGGCTTTCACCAACCCCCCACAGGCTGTGGTTGGGATGTGGCCCCATCTCCACTGTGGTTCTATGGGCACTCTGGCAACATGTACTGGACAGCTTCAAAATGTATAAGCAAACCAGCTGCCATTGGGTCGACTCTGACTCACGGAGACTTCATGTGTGTCAGAACAGAACTGTGCTCTGTATGGTTTTCAATGGTGATTGCTCAGAAGTAGATCACCAGGCCTTTTTTCCAAGGTGCTTCCAGGTAGACTTGGACCTCCAAACTTTCGGTTAGCAGCCAAGTACAATAACCATTTGCATCAC